CAATCCGATTTGAATCCTGCACATGCATGTCACAATTACATCAATCACAATAAAAACCAATCCTGAAAACAAGAGTTATTTAACAATTTATGTCTTTGAAGTTTCCAGATCAGATTGTTACTGAGAATGACAATGCAGCAAAATCTCCAACAAAATTGCACCTATGGGACCAGTCAAGCTAATGTACTTCGACTCAAATTAACAAATAATTCATTTTAGATTAGCTGCAATAATAAATACATTGCAGGTTAAATAGCACGTGCTTCATTGATTTAATTTAGCAGTGTGGCCTGGGGGCAATTGTTCCCGTTGGTTAATCACTATTGCTGGCAGTTGCTCTGTCTCTGATCATGCACTTCCTAAATCTGCCTTGACTCTGCATCTTCCACTTCACAAGTTGTTGTATTTGTATTTTTTAGTAAGTGAAAATTGTGTTTGTTGATAACGAGAGTGAAACTGACTCACACTCATTCACACAACTAAATTTCACCCAGCAAACTGGAAGAGAGTCATTGCTCTGGGATTGGAGAATCTACTTGAAAATATAAACATAAATTATATTATTGAATACCCACTTGTTACAACCCGAAGGACAAAACATATTTTAAGGACACAGAGACAGGTTTAGAGTAAAACAAAAAGATTTTATTTATACATGTTCTTTTAACTGAACTCTAGTTTTTTATGATTAAGTAATATGAATATTAAATCAACCCAACCCTGTGTCCAGAATACAAAAACCCAAAGTAATCAAATTAAAGGTGGACCTGGTGGGCCAGCCAAAACAAACAAAATGGGCCAACACCGAACCAACCCTATACAGGGCCGTCCGGATCCGATGCCGGCACCCTAACTAAAGAATAAACAAAACCCAACTAGCTACACCCTCAAACAAAAATGTAGCCACCGGACCCACCAGATCAAACAAAAAATAAGGACAAGGAAAAAGGGTAACCAAATGGCTAAACAAACAATCAAACCATGCGGCGTCAGGGGAGGCCGCAGACCTGGATCAAGAGGGAGCGCGCAGCGCGTGCACGCTCACCTCAGCAGGAAAGACTGAGAGCAGAGAGGGGCGGGAGCGCACCAGGACAGCGCTTCTTATACTCCCGACCCGAGCTGCAAAATATACAAAATAAGTTACAAAAACGTTATCAAATATGCTAATACCAAAAACAATCTTACAAAAAAACTATAAAACCTAAAAATACCTGGACCAAAAAAAGATAAGACCTAAAACCAAAAGGGGGAAAAGGTGCCCAAACATAACACACAGAATAACTCTTTTGTTCAGAAAGTACACGTTGACCTGTTATTTGGGATACAAAAAAAGCTGTAGATGTGCTGGACTTACTGGACTGTTAGGCACACCTGTATATCAGCTGCACCAGCAAAACTTAAAATTAAGTACATTTTGTCCACACACTTGAATATAAGCCACAGGTTTTCATGTTGTAATTCAGCAGACGACTGTTTAAGCTAGACACAACAAGATTTAATGATTTAAGGAGTTTAACAGCTTAGCTTCTATGCCAGTACTCATTCACCAATCTATTCTGCTAATAAACAAGTGTCCTATAGTTGCCAATACTTGATGGAGTCAAAAAAATAAGTCCAACTCTACCACAATAAAAATGCACATATACACACATTGCTATGTAAGCCACTGGGTTGAAAGAACTATTAAGAAGAAGTGGCTTACAGCCCAGAATTACGGTCATTTTAAATGAATGTATTACATAGAATTCCTTTAAACTGTTTGGTGTCTTTACTTAGAATCCGTTTTTGATATAGTAACCGTCTAAAAGATGCAATTTTTTTTTTTTTTATTGCCATGTGACCAAGGCCGAGTTCAAAGGGACGGTCAAAATTGAGATCACACCTTTAAACTTGCAATGTTGCAACTAATGGAAACACTTTGATTCAGCAGATGCTTTATACAACAGATTGATCAGGTGTGAAATGCATAAATCATAACCGTCAAATCCAGTACGTTCACTTAATATGGAAGAATGTGAGCTGGAAAGGATGAACAATAAGTGACCTTTGCACAGCATGAAGATGTTTCACCAATATCCAATATCCTGAACTTATATCACAAGAGACCCTCAGATTAAAAACCAAGATCCTATTGCACCAGATTTACAGTTTAGACAGAACATCGAAGAAGACAAAGGAGAACAGAAGGTGTCCTGTGAGAACTGCACAGTGGTATAAGGTTATGTGGGGGATTTGCCTCAGACCCTCATCATAAGCCATATTGAATGTAAATGTGTTATGTGCCAAGAATGAAGAAGCCCATAGGAGCAAGTGTTACTGACTGTGAATATTTATGTGCGGTCTTGTTCTTCTATAAATGTTCAAGTTCATCTCCTCCAGCTAACATTGCAAAAAAATTCCTCACACCCCCAGATAAATTTGGCAGTAATAAAAGGGGTGAGTGGCGATAAAATAACCGACGGGCCATATAAACAAGCAGCAGGTGGGATTGAAAGACAAAGGTGACTAAGGACATTCTACATTCCTTCCCACTTATACCAAATTCTAATCGCCTCGTCCCTCCTTCCTCAGAATGTCAAAATCTCAGAGTTTCATATCTCTGTGATGTAGACTGGATTATTTAACTTTTCAGTATTTTTAAATCCATCTGGAAGCGGGATAATATAAACGGCAGAGGAAAAAAGTGCCTGTACAATAAGCAAAGTCATAAATATTTTTTAAGAGTTTGATAAAAACATTAGTGTTAACCGAGAGGGAATGTGAGATATGCTCAGTATTTAATGGGATGATTCCGAGCTCGGTGTAGTTCGTAAAATTGAAAAAGGTGCCAGACTCTTAAATGAATGCTGAATTATTGATGATGTTCACGGTTTGAAAGTTGTCAACAATGTAGAAGTGCTGCATTTCACTGGTTTTATTGCATCACTGGGAAGACGCAAGAGGCATTCAAAGTCTGTTTTACTGGCTTATGTCAAATGAACATATGAACGGAAAAGACGTGTGTGTATGACTTTACAATTTTTTAAAAAACAAACTAAATTCAATGACCAAGACCTATAACCAATGAATATACCGTTTATATTATATGTTCAAAATCTAGATATATCATCAGTCGATCAATCTATATTTATGTTGACAGGAAAATTCAGGCCCTGGGAGTCCATGATATATGTCCTGATTGGCTGAGGTCTGGTCGACACTCCACACATGGCGACAGGGGACGGTATCAGTGGGTTGGCAAGCAAGGATGTTGTCTCTGTAAGGTCTTTTCGAGGAGTATGGGAGATTTTTTGTGTCATCAGATTCATAATTTTAAATGAGGTTGTATTTGAGGGCTCGAATATAAACAAATTGAATATTTTAAAGGTGAAATATATAATTTTGAAATTTTAATCACATTTAGATTTGTTCACTTAATTTTTAGTGACTGAAACGCAAAGACAGAAATATTCAAAATGGAAAAATTCAACACAAAAAATCCTTCCGTTGGGGAGACTTTGACCGATAGTAGCGGTGTAGATTTCAGCATGGCGATGAAAACCTGAAGCAGCTCTATCTAAGGTTAGGGTTAGTGTTCAAAGATTTCCTCTCTACTGTTTGCAGATTAATTTGTTGTCCTCAAGCATGAGCGTTCCGTGATGTGGTCTCTGTATCAGACTGTTGAGTTGAAGAGGAAGCAGAATCGAAAGGCAATCTCGGTTTACAGTTATTCGCACTCCCCTATGGTCACAAGCTTTAGATAATCACAGAAAGGACAAGAGCCTGGGGAGGGGTTCCATTAATGTCCCACCATGATCAGCCCTAGACATGCTAGAGGAACTTTGTCTCTCAGCCGGCCTGGGAACGCCTCTGTATTCCCCTGAATGATCTGGAGGACATTTGAGTGTCTCTGCTTCGCTCCGCAATCTGGCCATGGAAAAGGAAAACAAAGTGGATGGATGGATGAAGAATTAAAATTGCTGACCCTTGGTTCATTGCTCCATCAACTGAGATGATGTCACCCAAAACTGATCATCGGTAGTTGGCTATAATTTCTATTGCACAAATCTCTTCTAAATTGTTTTCAAACCGTCTTCTCAGAATAAGTCAAGTTTTAGTTGTTATTCATAATTGTTATTAATAATGATTCAAATATTTTTCAGTCCAAAATCCAGTTTGTTGACATTATCTAATAATAATAATGCATTGGTTTTATATAGCGCTATTTTGGACACTCGAACATTATTCATTCACTCCATACACGGTGGTGATAAACTACTACTGTAGCCACAGCTGCCCTGGGGCACACTGACAGAAGCAAGGAACCAGTATGTGCCATCGGCCCCTCCGACCACCACCAGCCATTCACACACACTCTGGACTCATTCTAGGCAATGTGGGTGAAGTGTCTTGCTTAAGGACACAACGACAGCAGTGGGAGTCGGTGGAGGAAGTCTTGTGGTGGCCCCAGTCATGTGAAGGCATGTGTGGAATCCAGTATGCTATGTGTCATGACAGACAGACACACACACACGCACGCACACAAGAGAATCTGTGTCACGCATCGCATGGACACACACCCATACACATACACAGCCTGCGTCGCACTGGTGTTTATGGGGTTAAGTGTAGTGCAAAAGGCCTGAACGGTCCATTAGCCGTTAATTTACTGCATATAAACTCGAAATACATCCAGTATATTTCTAATCGGATCAACAGTTCACCTTAACACATTCCATTAGTGTAGAAGCACTACAAAAAACCTGCTTGGCCACATTGTAAAGTAAACTTGTTCCTTCAAAGCTCCTCCTCATATTCAACCAGTTTCGGTGAGTTCTTGCCCGTCTCTAAAGAGTCACTCCTGCTAATGGATTTAATAATGTTGTAGTCGCAGAAAACAGGTTAGAGTCTTTGACGGATGCCGGGCAGAAGACTAATGCTTCTCCGCATGTGTAGGCTTAGTATTGAAGCGTGAAGTAGTCGGATCGGCTTTTAAATAGTGGCTAGAGTGCTGCGGACTCATGGAGCACCAATCCCTGGGGCAGCTCAAAGACTTCAAGAAAGACGACTTTGAGGCCGACTGGATTAAAGTGTCAGAATGCAGATTTGGCCAAGTGTATCAAGCCAAGCTGAAGATGTGGCGGGAAAAGTGTGCTGTGAAGACCATTGACCTCGAGTCTTGGAGGTGGGCCAGAAGATAGATGAATGAATGCTATGCTATTGATCATTTTCTTTTCATACCAATATATTTCAGCATTGCTCATTTTTATTGATTATACTATTGATTTGATTTTTATTGATTTGATATCATGAGACATTCTCGAACATGTGCAGGTAGTGTTTGGGGAATGGCCTCTGGGAAGATTGAGGAAACACTGGAGAGAGGAAGGACTAGTGGGTCTCTCAACTGGCCTGGAAATTCCTTGGGATTCCCCTATGATCTGGGGAATTAAGCATGGATAGGCAAGTCTTGTCTGTTCAGCCTGCTGCCTTTGCAAAGTGCACACCATGAATGGATAGTGTTTAGCTTTGAGCCTTTCAAAACAGTTCATTTTGAATATTCCAGATCGGTGATGTATGAGGGTCCTGGTGGAAATACATTGTGTTTTTAGTGTACTGATCTCATTCCATAACTTGTCTTCACATTGTTCATATCAAATTGTTTTAGTTTAACTGCATGCTAATTTTGGCAGACCAATGGAGCAGACTTCACTCTTGGTAGAGTATGTATTTCCAATTTATCAGAGAATCACCACTCCTAATTCTTTTCTAAGTTGCGTCTGCTCTCTTTGAGACATCGTGATCTATTTCCCACTATCAGCCTGTATGTTAGAGCTAGGAAAATACTATAATATAATATTCCCCTGTCATTTGATGCTGGCTTTGTTCTGAACCAAGAAAAAGAATGTATCCTCTGTGGACACACTGTAAAAATGAAGATATGAGTAAGGAAGAATAGGATCGATATAAAATAGACGTTTTTGATTGTTCTCTCAAAGCTGGATGAATAATACATGTGATACAGTTACTTTGACATAGTGAATTATGATCCTATTTTTGTAAATGTTTCTAATCTAAAGCTTACTATAGTCTCTACAGGTGGAAATGAACTGAGGGTGATTGAGGTGGGGTTTAATAAGATATACTTCTCCCCACTTTCTTTCAAGCATCAGTCTTCCCTTTTGTATAGTTTTTTTCTCTATTTTTTTCTCTCTCTTGGAACATTCTTTGCGTGAAATACATAAATTAATGAATCAATCAAAAACGAAATACATGGATAAATAAATAATAAAAAAGTAAACAAACAAAATTTAAATAATAAAATAATACATCAAATATTAATTAGTGCCAAGACCTGTGTTTCCGCTGTATTTTTCTCTCCCTAAACACTGACTCTATAATGATAATGCAGAAGGCCCCATCGTGAAAAAAACGATACACAAATAGTTTAGTAACCCAACACAATTATAATAATCCTGAAAAGCTTATATGGACCCCAGTCACTCGCAACCCCTGACCCCTTGTTGAAGATGATTGATGTGAAGTTTTTCTCATCATTATGCAATCTTTCTTCTTTGATAGGCAGAAAATCGATGACGTGTCAGCCATTGCAAAAGTGAAATTCAAATACCTGGTGTCGGTGTATGGGGTGTGCAGCGAGGCGACTGGCATGGTGATGGAGTACATGAGTAATGGCTCGCTCAACAATCTGCTGGCCAGCCACACTCTGACGTGGCCAAAGAAGTTCCAGATGATTCACGAGACGTCCATGGGCATGAATTTCCTCCACAGCGCCAAACCGCCATTACTCCACCTCAACCTTAAGACGTCAAACCTTCTGCTTGACGATCATCTCCATGTCAAGGTCAGGGCAGAAAGACGAGCCTGTGTGGAAATACAGAATACTTGTATTATGTGATTTTTGGTGCAGTTATAAAACCTAGAACCTTAAACCATAGTATATACTGTATGGACAATGCTAACCCCCTGATAGTCTGACCTGATGAAGACCGAAGTCAGGGGTGTCAAACTCATTTTGGTTGGGGGCTGGATTTAAACAGGGCTGTAAGTGTATCTATATATATTTGTAAACAAATCTTTTTTTAGATTTCAAATACTGTATGGTTGGATTAAACTGAAAGCGATTCATAGTTAAAGAATTGGCCACTGTTTTTTTATTTTGGGTTAAGATTTCGGACTAAAATAAAGAATGAAATTATCCTTAAAATGGGGAATAACCCACCATCTATGTTGCGATAACATGTTAATAGTAACAACAACAAAAAGTAATTTCAGGGGCCACTAAAAATGGTCTGGTGGGCCGCATTTGGCTCGCAGGCCTTGGGTTTGACACCTCTGACATAAGTGGTCGAAACGCATTGGCGACCTTGAGTGTCAAGAAAGATATTATTGACATGTATTATTACTATTAGAACATAAAGGATTTTTACTTAACTTTGTGCCTCTGACCCCTATTTGTGAGCTTTTTGCATTTGGATCTGGAGAAGTACCTGACTCGCATAGTTCGCCTTTTTCACTGATGTGCTCATGGACAAAGTTTTGCTCCAGCTCAATCTGGCTCCTGTTGACATTGAAAAGTAGACCAGAAAAGTTGTATACAATACAATACAATACAACTCTTGTATAGCCCTAAATCACAACAGCAGTCATCTCAGAGGACTTAACAAAACCTTTGAAATCACCAACACAGATCAGAGTCACAGTTAAGACACATAAAGAATATAGAACACATGTTGATAAATGTCATACATGTTGCAGAATGTTAAAGTGTCCGGGAACACCACATCCTTTTAGTTGGACACTAACTGTCCAACAGACCCTCCTGCATCGGCAAAGGATAAACTAAAAAAAGACCCGATGGAAAAAAAGGGAGAAACGGGCTATAGATCCTGGACCTAAGCTACAGAACGTGGATCAGTGGCCTTTGATTGTGGACAGGTCCAGTGCAGGACTGAAGAACTCCCAGGCGGGTCGGGCAGGGCAGTCCGCAGGTGTAGATGGAGGAGGCCAGGTCCGGAGGTCCCGTCATCACGTCATGAAACAGACAATGGGACAACGGGTGAATAGCAATGAACAGACTACATTCAAAATCCTAAAAGTGCAGACAGATAAAGTAGGAAGGAGGAGAGGATAGTGCTCAAGTTACCATACTTCTCCCAACAAACTGACTCCCTACGCTGCTTGACTGACAGTCTAAGATTTTTAGCTTTCCCTGAGTCTTACCTTCCTAACCATGTGCTAAACTGAAGATAAAGCCATAAAAGGATTGACTAAACAGATGCCTTCCTTCACGGGGGAAACTCCAGCTTGCCTTAGCAGCATGTCAACAACACGTCTTACCTTGTTACAACGCAACGCTAATACCATCAGAACATAATCCCAAATAAGGAAATTGTGTTCAAATAGGCTTCTTGTGCAAACACTATGGGTACATCATTGCTCAGTCTGTCCACTCCTACTATTCCCTACGGTCTGTGGGTACATTGTCTCCAACTATGATTTCATCTCTCATTAAACACGCTATTTCACTACCTGCATGCATTCGTATTAAGGTTTGACCTTCTCCAAACAAAAAATGTTTCCCAGAGATTAAATGAAACAAACAGGGTTGTTTCTCTGCTATATTTCTGCACACCTTCTTCTGCAGTTGTTTTACACACAAGGTCACGGCCATGGGGAGCATCATTATCATCCCAGAGACCAGGGGGTTTAGAAGAGTGATGATACGGTTCCAAAACGTTAAATTAAGTTTGAATAATGCTTTTCTCGTGTTGCTTCCCCTTTTGTATATTCAGGTGAAAACGGAAAATTAGAATATCCTTTATCTACTTCTGAAATTCAACTTACAATGGGAATAATATATCATATACCCATTACATGCACATTATCTCAAGCCTTTTTACATTATGATGTTGATAATTGGCTCACAATGTGGTAAAAAAAAACAAAAAAACAAAAAACAGAATATTTCAGATTCAGTTCCACAACCAAATTGGAATACATGTGCAAACGTGCCCCGGCGTGCACCAGACAAGTACATAAATTTAAATAAAAACAACACGGAGCAGATCACACCAGAGCCCTGTCTCTTGTTGATTTTGAATGAGCTGGAACCATCATCCAAACAAACAAAGGCTTGGCATGTGCAAGTACTTTATATCCAGGTCTCCAACCTTTCCCGATTGGAGAGCTATTTTTCTAAAACAGAAATGAGAGAGAGCAACTTGTTTTAACAGTTGGAAAAAAAATCTAAATCTAAAAGTCTATAATAACTACAGCAAACCATGGAACACTCATGCTTAATACACTGCAGTGTATCCCTGCATTCATGATGTATAGTTCATATGGATGTGGAAAGAGCCAAAAGTGAATCGTTTGAATCATGTGTAACTTTTTTGAATCCTTTTTTGTTGCTACCTGAGACGGGCTGGTGTGCAACTGGTAGCTCCTGTGCCATAGGTTGGAGACCCTTGTTCCATATATACATAACTATACTTTCACATTATAAGTTGAATAACTGAATTACAGAAATAAACTAACTCTTGGGTGACAGTAGCTCAGTTGGTAGAGCATTGGCCTTCAGGCCTGAAGGTCGTGGGTTCAATTCCCACCTCTACACCTTCTCCACCGATTCCCACTGATGACTGCTGTCGTTGTGTCCTTGGGCAAAACACTTAACCCCACTTTGCCCAAAGCCCCCACTGAAAGATCAAGGCTATGCTCACACTCAGAGAGCAGCCGTCCTCCTGTGGACTCACCACCTGCAGAGGGTCAGTGAGGGGCTGGTGCTATGAGACTTGGGTGGCATCTCTGAGTGCCACCCCCCTGACCCAGAAATGGATTAAAGGGTAGAAAATGGATGAACGGAACTAACTCTTCAACAATTCTAATTTTCTAATTTTGAGTTTCACCTGTACGTTATAGTAGCACTCCAAACTTCTTCCAGAATTCCAGTATTTTGAAGCAGTCAGTTTGCTCTTCACTCATCCAGACACGAGCGATTCTTACAGCATAAATCTACGAACATTTTACTGTGATGTATTAAAATCCTGATCTCTACTGTCACACCAAAACAGATCTCAGATTTCAGTCTAATCCGCTGGGAGACGAGCGCGGGGAAGAAGTCGTTTATGGAGCACCTGACAGCCAGAGGGAACATAAGTTACATGCCTCCTGAGTCATTCACGTCAACTCCAGAGCCTCCTGGAACTACCTTCGATGTGTACAGGTGACTTTCCAAGGGCACTCCTGATAGACACCATAAAAACACCACTTCTACCCACTTGCTTCTCAGTCCACAATTCACTTTGCAACCTGACTCACCTCCATTTAAATTCATTAAATGCCCTCCAGACATCTTTCAAGACAATGTTATAAATCCTCTGGCCTCCTTTCCACTCTAAAAGCATTGCCATTACATTTGAGAATTATAATAACTTAACTGGCGATGTAATTTTTTCTCAAGGCAGGTAGAATTAGTTTAAAGCAGAAATTGATATAAAGGGTATGGCATAAATGGCTTGTGTCTGCTTTCTTTCCAGCTTTGGAGTGGTGATTTGGGAAATACTGACTCAGCAAAAACCCTATGCAGGCAAGTTTTCATTTATTTTGTACTCTTAACATGGTCCAATTCCCAACATTCCACATGCGTTAGCCAGGAAGGACACAGCGGCCTGTCCTATAGAAGCAGATTCAAATGTATTGTACAGTGAAAATGCAGTAGAGTAATAGAGTAGCCTTCAATGAGGGCTTGCATTATTTTGCAGGGAGCAGCGTGCCCATGGTGCTGGTGCAGGTGGCGCAGGGGAAGAGGCCCAGTCTGGAGATTCTCCCAGAAAACAAACCACAGGAGTGTGAGCACATCGTCAGCATCATGAAGCTGTGTTGGGACCATGACCAAAGCAAAAGACCTCCTTTTTCAGGTGAGTCCCATGTATTTTAAAACGTATTCCGATACATGGCGTAGGTTTCCTCGGGGTAATCCGGATTCCCCTACCACTAAAAACATGCACACTAGGTTAAATCCTCCAGCTCTGGTAGTCCTGATCAAGCCGAGCATCAACATCTGGAGATGGGTTCCCAGTCGCTGTTACTATGGCGACCACTGCTCCTGACGCAAGCCTTCGCATTATCAGGATGGGTCAAATGCAGAGGATTGAATTGTCCTACAGGGATCAATAAAGTGCACCTTTACCTTTACCTTATCAGAACACTGTATTCTGAACACTTGCAATACATTAGAGGTAATTTGTATTGTGTTATAAGTAAAGAATATATATGGATAAAACACACTCACATACTGTACTTCACTAACTAGGTATGAATGTACATGAGTGAGTGAATGGATGGTGTTGATTGGGGGCTTTGATACAGTGTGTTCGGCGACTCGCTTCCGTCATCAGTGGTTGGAGTGATTGGAACAATATATCTGAACTCTGAACATTGTGAAGCGCTTTGACCTTGGTCTGTAAAATGCAATAAATAAAAAAGACTTTACTTACTTACTTGCTTACTAAAAGTATACGTATGTTCAAAATATAAATTTGATTGAAATATCATTGCACACAGAAATATAAACTTTAATTCCGTATATTGAATACAACCAAAATAGTTTTCATGTATTCTGAATGTTACTTTGTTTTTAATTTATTATTTTGTATGTACTGTTTGTATGTATTTATGTGTGTATGTTGTTTGTACGTAGGTGGGTAGGTAATGGTGAGGGAGGAAGTTAGGTAGGTATGTACAGTATGTACTGTATGTGTGTAGGTAGGTAGGTAGGTAGGTATGTATGTATTTACTTATTATTAGTAAAAACATACAGATACACTATTTACCAACTGTATACAACCAAGACACAAGGACAAGAACAGTGATCTCATCATGTACAGAACAAACAACAACAAGAGTGGACAACAAAGGACAATGTAGAAAACAGTAACAGATACACATCGACTTTATTGCACAAACGCGGATATGGCACGTTCCCTTGACTGTCCTAATATTACTTTCACCCATACGCTGACCCCTAGTATTCTGAATACATATCCATGCACCTGGTATGCTCCCATTCCCATTCAGGAATTTAAGAAGGGCTGTAAATGTACACATATTGCATTAGTAGCCGTTTGGTTGGTTATTTTTATGGTTATCTTTTTCAAATGCAAGGTGAAGAAACAACAAAACTAGGGTTGGGGAGGAAGAAAAATACAAATAAAAAAATCCCACACATTTTAAGAATGGTCTGACAGCATGGTCTGTGAATGAAGTGCAACCAGGCTTGATGCACAAAAAGGTGCACATGCTCACTTCCTCTTTGGAACGCAGCACCTATGTCCACTTATGGGTCTTTGGATCATGGACCTCTGGGGCCTGTCTCCTGCGGCTCTCCTGAAACCTACTATAAACCATGTACAATGTCCATATGTGCTTTGTCAGACTTTTACGCTGACTATATTCAAATATTTCAGGTTTCTAAAGCTTTCCGGGTTTGAGCTGCGATCTTTTGCCAACATCTAATTTGAGTGATGTTTCACTCCAGGTTATAGTAGGTTTGATAATGACAAGGCAAATTTATTTGCATTGCACAATTCATACACAAGGCAACTCAAAGTGCTGAACAAAACCAAATAGAAACCATATAGAAATCATAAAAAATTACAGTACATTGAAAGGAAAGATGAAGATATAAAATCCCTCTGTTGTATGCACAGCTAAACAGAACAGTTTTCTGTATTTAAACATTGTCAGAGAAGAGGCCTGATTCCAGATTTTAGCTGCATGAATCTGAAAAGCAGCCTCCCCATGTTTAGTTCTGACTCTGGGCACTAACAGGAGTCCAGTCCCTGTGCTCCTCAGAGTCCGAGTTGGTTTGAATGCTGCTAACATATCACTCATGTACTCTGGTGCGAGGCCATGGAGAGATTTGTAACAAGTTTTAAAGTCTATTCTCTGAGCCACAGGAAGCCAGTGCAGAGACCTGAGGACTGGACTAATATGGTCGTACTTCCTGGTTCTAGTCAGGACTCGAGCTGCTGCATTTCGAATGTACTGCAGCTGTTTTACAGCCTGTTTGGACAGACCTGTGAGCAGGCCATTGCAGTAGTCTAACCTACTGGAGACAAATGCATGGATAAGAATCTCCAGGTCTGCTTTAGACACTATGTTTTTGATCCTGGCAATGTTTTTTAGATGGTAAAATGCTGCTGATGTTACTGATTTGATGTAGCTATTGCTGTGTCCAGTATTATTACCCCTAGATGATTTGATTCCTTTCCTTAGTTTTTATTGACATAAAATAGATAACAAATGGTGCCGGAGAATTGTTGCTTTAGTCTTACATTGCAATTTACTGTATGTTACAGAATGCAAATGAGTGTTAAAGTATTCTGCAACTACACACATTATCAAAGTAATCTTTCCCGCAGTTTCAATTATCATTATTCTATCATTCTTTACAAATGGATGCCCTTTCCCAGTGTGGTAAGTGAAAACAGCAGTGCTAACTAAAAATAACTCCCATGAGTGGGTGAACAGCATGCAGGGGTGCAACTACTCATTTTCACGGGGGGCCGTGCAAACTAAAATCCAGCGCAATTTTTTGTTTTAGTTTTTATGCGAGAGGGCTTTCTTTTGTTTTTCCATCTTGCGACAGGTAAATAATGATTTTGCTGTTGTTGCGGCCTGTCAAAGCAGGGGTCGCTCTTGACTCTATGGGGCGCTGCTGTCAAGTGCCGCTGAACCAACCAAGAGGGTGGTTTGGGGCGCTCTGCTTTGCGTGCAGACAAGCTTTATTATTTTATTCATATCCTTCTAGCATTTTTTGCGCCCCCTGTCCTTCGGCGCGCCCCTTTGCAAAGCATACAGTTGAACATGTGGGAGGAGTATTGTTAGTGATCTCTGGCTGGTCCTCCGCTGTCTCACGTCACTAGGCCTATAATCAATTCACATTTGTGAACATGAAATGCAAATGGAAGAAAATAGTATGTCACTAATGGGAACGGACATGTTTGATTTATAGATTGACAGAGGGAGAGTATGGTAGGAGCGAGCCCTGTGTGCAATGCTTGACTGACCCTGTATGCAAGAGATTGGCTCAGTAATGGAACAGATCATCTTTATTTAAACCAAACACAAACATTTATTGATGGTTGTTTTAACCAAGATTGTTCACCCACCGCACTTACCGCAAAAAATAGATTTTTCGCAGCAACCAAAACTGCAAAAACCTGGTGAAAGTTTCTGCATTTCATAGTAAATCTGATTGTAGAATGTACCTTAATTATTTTGTCCCAACTCATTAAAGGTGCCATATTGCGCTCTTCTTCATGTTTCTCAGTCCATCCTATGCACATGTGTGATAATAGTTTGAGTGATACACCAAACAACACTCAAAACTCTCATGGACGTGTACAGAGTGGTTTGGCCGAGTTCTGACCAATCAGTCCCTGCTGATCAGAGCAGTCCTGATCGGAGTTAGAGCGGGAGACAATCGAGCTGAGTTTGTGGCACTAAAGTGTGGATTTACAGAAAACCAAAAGATTTAAGAAGAAAAAATGTTCAGGATGACACTAAAATCCCCACAAAATCCGACCTTTGTGAAAGCTGTAGGTTCTCTGTCAGCTGAAGTCGAGCTGTTTTTGTTTATGTTGAGTTCTATTTCGTAAAACTTCTGGGTAGCCCATGTGACTTTAGTTTTGTTCGTATTACCCTATCCAGGTAATACATCCATGGCCCACCTACGTCCTCCAGAACCCAGAATCGTACCCTAAATATTTGGTTTACAGATGTAAATGGCGGGTTAGCAGCACTGTACCTACAGATCGTCTCCTTGTTAGCGTCTTATATTGTGGGATAATATAGTGAAGCAATGTAGATTGAACAGATTCAATCCTAACACTTTTAGCCACCGACAAAAGCTAAAAAACAGTATAGACTATGTGGTGTCCACGGGACCGTTCCATAGACGTATGCTAGCTGTGCGCGGTGATTTTCTGTTTCGATTTTTCAATAACCTCCTGGATTTTATTGTTATTATTTTGGACAACAAACAACATATTTATTGTGTATCGTTTTCCCTGTTTTGACGACATTATTAAGGACCATTTTAAATACAAAAAAACTGGCTTCTGCGTGTCATATTCATAATTGATGTTGAAATCCTCCCAGATGTGGACCCAGGCGTTCTCTGCCTCTCAAGGGTGAAACAGAAAGTTTGCTCTCTAACTAAAGCTTGAAGGAATCAATGAAGAAACTTCTCTGGGCATGTGTATGAAGGCCAAATAGCACTGTAATGATCTTTAAACCAGAGACCTTTAATGTTTGTCATTGTTTGGATTGTTTTAACGACAATAAACCTGAAGAAGTATCCTCACTTACTCACAGCACTGAGACTGCACTAGTGAAGGTTACAAATGACATCCGACTTAACACCGACACAGGAAAAGTCACAGTTTTAGTAATGCTGGATCTGAGTGCTGCGTTCGACACAGTCGACCACGAGATCCTCATGCAGAGACTAGAGCACTGGGTGGGTGTCACTGGGACTGCCCTAAGTTGGTTTAGGTCTTACCTAGAAGACAGGAAATACTTGGTTCAGATAGGAAACTGTGTCTCAGATCATATGGCTCTGACCTGCGGAGTGCCACAGGGATCAATTCTGGGGCCTCTTCTGTTCAATATTTACATGCTGCCGTTAGGTCAGTTAATACGCTCCAACAATGTGGTAACAACCTGGAGCTGAACGCCCAGAAGACAGTGGAGATGATTGTGGACTTCAGGAAGAGCACTGTCCCCCCGCCCCCACCCTCCGTGATGGACTCCCCCATCACCTCTGTGGAGTCCTTCCGTTTCCTGGGCACCACCATCACCCAGGACCTCAAGTGGGAGCCGACCATCAGCTCCCTCATCAAGAAGGCCCAGCAGAGGATGTACTTCCTGCGGCAGCTCAGGAAAGCCAAGCTGCCTGCACAGATGTTGGTGCAGTTCTACACGGCCATCATCGAATCCATCCTCACCTCCTCCATCACCGTGTGGTTCGCTGGAGCCACAGTCAGGGACAAACAGAGACTACAGCGCATTGTGCGCTCTGCAGAGGAAGTGATCGGCCGCAGCCTTCCATCGCTGCAGGACCTCTACGTCGCCCGAGCTCGAGGCCGGGCTGGTCGTATCACAGCCGACCCCTCTCACCCTGCACATGGACTATTCCAACCACTCCCCTCAGGCAGGAGGCTGCGGTCCATCAGGACTAGAACCTCCCGCCACAAGAACAGTTTCTTCCCCTCTGCTGTTGGACTCTTGAACACTTCTTAACCTGTCCCCCCGCCCTTTATAAAGTCACTTTACTGCCCATCATACGTCACTTTACTTCACTGTACTGCTGTCACCTTACATTGTGTGCACCATGTGCACTTGTATATTGTAAATAGTAACTGTAACTCTATTTTAAATTTAAATTTATTCTTTAGAAGTGTTTTTTATTCTTATTTTTATTATCTCTTTTTGACTGTTGCACTGAGCCAAAGCAATTTCCAAGTCTGTGACCTCCCGTTACTTACGTTGGCAATAAAAATGATTCTGATTCTGATTCTGATTCTGATTCTACCACAATTACGCTGATGACACTCAAATGTATGTCTCACTTACTGCAGGAGAACATGGACCAGTGGACTCACTCATACACTGTATTCAACAGATTAGTGATTGGATGCAAAATAACTTCCTTCAGCTAAACGCAGACAAAACTGAATTGATTGTCTTTGGTCCTCAGAACCAAAGAGAGAGCGTTATTCGTCATCTCCAGTATCTCTCCCTGGAACCTGTAGGCAAGGTCAGAAACCTAGGAGTTATAATGGACTCAGACTTAAATTTTAACAGTCACATCAAATCAGTTACATCAACAGCATTTTACCATCTGAAAAACATTGCCAAAATTAGAAACATAGTTTCTAAAGCAGACTTGGAGATTCTTATCCATACATTTGTCTCCAGTAGGTTAGACTACTGCAATGGCCTGCTCACAGGTCTGTCCAAACAGGCTGTAAAACAGCTGCAGTACATTCAAAATGCAGCAGCTCGAGTCCTGACTAGAACCAGGAAGTACGACCACATTAGTCCGGTCCTCAGGTCTCTGCACTGGCTTCCTGTGGCTCAGAGAATAGACTTTAAAACAGCTCTGCTTGTGTACAAGTCTCTCCATGGCCTTTCACCAAAGTACTTAAGCGACTTGTTAGTGCCATATGAACCGGCCCGGACTCTGAGGAGCACAGGAGGTAGCCTCTTACTGGTTCCAAGAGTCAGCTCTAAACATGGGGAGGCAGCGTTTGAGATTTATGCAGCTAAAATCTGGAACAATCTTCCTGAAGGTGTGAGGCTAGCATCTACTCTGGCAATTTTCAAATCAGGGTTAAAAACTGTTCTTTTTAGCTGTGCATACGGCTGAAGGATTTTATTGATACATACTCTTTTTTAATGCATTGTGGTTATTTATTATTTTAATCCCGTGTGTGTTTTTAATGTTTTAAGGTTTTTTCATTACTTGTGATTTTATTCTGTTTTTAATGTATTTATTGTTTGTATATGTAGATTTTGATGTTTCTGATTTGTCTGATATTATGTGGGTTGTGAGGCGCTTTGAGTGGCCTTGTGTTGGAAAGGCGCCATACAAATAAAGTTGATTGATTGATTGATACTGTATCAAAGCACAAAAAGGCTGAAACTTACAGTGGTTTTAATTTCAGACCTTGTAGTAAAAACTGAGGCCCTCAAAGAAGTCCTGATGATCCGTGGTCCAGTGAACACCGGGGGAGTGAATCCTTGGATGGTTCCACCTACTCCTGTGGTATGTCCTGCTTTAAATATTTTCCGTTCTTTAAAAAAAAATTGGGGTATGACCTTTACAGTGTTTTTTACTGTGAAGGAAAAGCATTAGTTAAAGCACTGAAGACCTATTCTGCAAACTGAGGTTTCCTTTTCAGTCTGAAATGTTTATTATCTATTGAACACATGTTGCATGGTTGCATCCGAACCCTGCCAAGTCTCTCATCATTGTTTTACTGTTTTACTTGTGTGTGTGTGTGTGTGTGTGTGTCAGAGAGTGTGCATGGGAGCGTGTGTGTGTTTGTCTGTGGTTTGGGGTGGGTCTGTTGGGTGGTCGGGGGGAGGGGACAAGGGCCGGCGGGATTGTTTTTAACCAAACTGTAAAGCACTTTGTGTTGCATCTTTTGTATGAAAAGCGCTTCATAAATAAAATTTGATTTGATTTGATTTGATGTCTGTAATTTTCAAAACTGAGGACAGTTTTTTCCCTTTCAGATTAAGATGCCTGACCTCCCCTTAGGTAAGCATTGAGCGAGAGCACAATGAAATAACTATAATAATAATTTAAAAGTGCTATTTACATTGCTTTTCCATTTTAATATTACCTTAAGCACAGGAAAGCTTGTGTCTGAATATGTTACGTAAGGTCATTAAACACAGCACATTGTTTGTGCCACTTTAAGTACCTGAGAATCATTAACATGTCATCCTCTTCACCCCAACATATACCACATACATATTTTAAACAGCACTTAAGCTCAATAACATATTTTCACAGATAATCGTTATGGCAAGGAGAATATTGTTTCCCTTCTCTTCAAAAAAGAGTTTGGAACTTTCAGAAAATCAGTGAGGAAAGAAGATTTGCGTCGCGTGTTTTCAGAGAAGAAAAGCTTGATGCACTACACTGTGGCCAGCGGAGACGCAGAGAGCGTCAACCACGTGCTGAGTCTTGGCGCTGAGGTCAATTGTGAAACTTCCAAAGGCAACACTCCACTGAGCATCGCTGTTATTAAGAGGTTTGTTTAGAACGAATCATTATTGTTCCACTGTAAAGCTCTCATATTTATTCATGAAGGCTGAATCCCCGCTGCAGGTTTCATGACATTGTTTCTTTGTTACTGGACCATGGCGCTGTCCCCACAGCTGCAGATGAGGACCAGTGGACTGCTCTCCATTTTGCTGCTCAGAATGGAGACGACAGGTCTGTGCGCCTCCTTCTGGACAAAGGGGCGGAGCCCAGTGCCAGAGAGACAGCTGGCTGGACCCCTCTACACTTGGCCTGTCAGAACGGACATGAGGAGGTAGTGCGTCTGCTGCTGTCACGTCTTTCAGATGATTCAGTGGGGGATCCAGAGGGGCGAGGGCGGACTCCTCTCCACCTGGCTTCCATCTATGGACATCTGAACATCATCAAGCTGCTACTCACCAAGGAAGCAGACCCTAATGCAACTGACAGTTCGCTCTCCACTGCCTTGCACTTGGCGGCGGAGGCGGGACACAATCGCGTTGTACGGCACCTGGTGAAGTGCAAGGCCACAATCGACTGTGTGGACAGCAGGGGCTACACCCCACTTCACCTGGCTGCCCTGAAGGGATACACTGGTATCTGCAGACAGCTACTTTCAAACCAGGCCTGTCCCAACGCCAGGACACTGAAGGGCTGGACCCCGCTACACCTGGCTGCACTCAAGGGACGCGAGGCCACAGTGGCTGAGCTCGGGAGTCATGGAGCGACCGTGGACGTGCGAGGGGAGAAGGGATGGACACCTCTACATCTTGCCTGTCATCAGAGTGATCCTCTGGTGGTCACTAAGCTTCTGGCAGCTGGAGCTGACCCCAATGTGGCCGAGGAGAGTGAGGGCTGGACCCCCCTCCATGTAGCCTGCACCAGTGTGAGTTTCCCTTGTGTCCTTCACCTGATTTCACATGATGCAGATGTGAATATGCTGAGCCATGGGAGGGTTTCGCCTTTACATTTGGCAGCTAAGCATGGATGTGTGTCTATAGTCAAGGCGCTGCTGCTGAACGGGGCCGACACTTCTGCGCTGGACTCTTCAGGGGCCTCTGCATTAAGTGTGGCACAAAGCAACCAGAAGTGGGAAATAGTGCAACTGCTGGAGAAGTGATGCTAATCGCTCAGTGGCTCCCAAATCAATAAGAGCATTACTCCATCACACTTTTTGGGAGCTCTGTTAATCGCTCAACATTTGTTCTTTACAAGATAAGAATATTTAATGTGAATTACTGAAATGTGCTTTTCCCGGCATATGCTTTAGAGAGTGATATGTTTTGCTGATACAAATGAGTAATTTATTTGCTGACCCTTCAATTTTCAGAATTTCCATTGAAATAATGAAGTACATTTTTTACCAGTCTTACATCTTTAATGTATGTTTGTTTGATTAAACAATGATTATTGTGCTGAAGCACTTTTCAATCCATCTTAATCCTTTTTCTCGTGACTTTGAGGAGAGCAGATGTACTTCACCAAGAGGCTATTGTACTGACGGCCATCCAAGTCATTAGACGTGACAGACTTCAGTGGCTCATTTTCGGAGGAAAATAATCAGGACTGAACTACTGCCGGGTATGATTAAGTATCTCTTCTGAACCATCTCGGGTTTGAATGTGTCCACTTTATCACAATGAAAAAGGGTGCAGAGGATCATTCAGGATATAAATAAAATTAACGCTCACTGGAGGGAGATGTAATTTTGCAAACATCAAATCCATTTGTGTTGTTTATCATATGCTACATCATTCTGGTCACTGGCTGCTTACCAGAGACTAAAGATGACTAAAACAACATCCAGTACTTTTTTAGACCTCAAATACAATACATAAGTGGTTACTGTGCCCACTGTCCATTCAAATAGAGTAATATTTTTTTTAAAACATGGTTGATATGTTTAATTGCAAAGTGCTTTGCTCAATGTCTGCCACAAAACAATAACAGCTCATGCTCATTCATTGTAGACAGTAACAACAATGATGCTGGCACCAAAATCTACAGCCCTCTTTATTTTGGATGTAAAGCAAATGCTAAACTAAAAGCGTTCATCAAACTGCATTTAATCAGATGAAATCAATGGTGATGCCCTACCCTTTTTACACGAGCAGTGACACATCGGAATCGTTCTAACAGCCTGTAATTAGGTTTGTCTGCACCTAAACTAATTTTATTTTCTAACAAGGAGACAAGCAGGAAGGAGATAATGGCATGTAAGCTGCCCGAACACAAATCACACCAGACACTACAAAGCAGTTACAATACGGCCTGTCTAAGGAGCCAATTGGTCGCTCGTACAAGTCTCTTGCAAATGTATTTATATTATCTTTTTGTTACGTTTTGTCATGACAACAAAAAAATATTACCAGCAAAAATTCCCTGCTGATTGCTGAGTCAATGTAATATTATTGAGGTATCATAAATGAGTCCTGGCCCCAGAGTTGGGCGGCTATTGAGTACCAATGAGAGTGCACCCCCTGATGTCAGGAAAGGATGAAATCCTGAACAAAAGCTGGAAGGGATCGAGATATTGACATTACAAGCCTACATCGATTCATAAGGAAAGGGGAAGCAAAGTCAGTAGCCTGGGGTGCAGTAGATAAGGCAAAGAGGAGTTTCACAGATGAGATGGAGGTGGACCTTGACAAACACTAGAAACAACTCGCTGACAAATTCCATGGCTCCATTTAAGATCCATAAAGTGCACCTATTACGCTTATATTGCATATAGTTTTTTACACTTGGTTTAGTTTATTTATTTATTTAAAAAGGGACAGTGTACAATTAGAACATAAATGCCTCCATTTGATGCATTGTACCGGAGTTAGCCTTAGGCTAATTTGCATCTGTAGTCCCCCGGCAGGGAAGAACACTCCACATACAGGTGGGTATAAAATAACACAAGCACATACCATAAAATACATATTTGTATACAGTCAGCAGATACACACAGAGCAGACGCACAAACGCACAATCACAGACGTATTCCCACACACAAGCACACAATCACACACAGTTACACACGCACACAAACACACACACTCAGGTGGCGTCAGTACCTTTGGACCTATGGATTTGTGGGTTGCATATAATTTTTCAAGATTCAAAGATAATTTATTATGTACCGGAGAAAATTTGTTTTGGACTCACAGGCTGCTACATTAAAATACACATACGGCAGTAATAAACCATCATCTTTTATATTTCTTCTGTGTGCTAATTTGTTAATACCTCTGTATTATATTGACAATAATAATGTCTTGCGTCCTCTCTGGAGTCCACAACTTATTATGAGTTCAAATCGGTCTGGAGACCACCTAGCGTCTGTTGTGCATACCAGTGAAAGCCTGTGCTCGACAGGCCGTCCATACATTTGCCTGCAACAGAGGAGAAAGTGCGACGCACGCTCGAACGCACGCACATAGATAGTCTTGTCAGCATAAGTCTGTTTGCTCTTAATATCTGGAACGCATGTTTAGCTTCTCCTTTGGAGTACCTTTTATTTATTTATTTATTTTATTTATTTATTTATTTAGAGGATAAGCCCCTTGAGATGAATCATCTCGTTTTCGAGGGGGTCCTCAAGATTTTACAAGGACAGATACAGCAAAACAGATGAAAATAAGACAAAAGAAAATCATTAAAAAAAAAAAAAAAAAAAACACAAAACAAATAGTAATAATAAAAAAATAAAAAAATAAAAGCAACCATAACAAATACACACACAATCACTCACACACACACACACACATCGTGACTGTACTGATGTTACACAAAATATGGATAATACTATTAATATTGATGGTAATAACAATAATCAGGAGACAAGACAAGTTTAGGTCTCATAAACTAAGATCAAAACATTGACATGAATACCGGAGATATTGTATCAAAGCAGATTTTAACAGAGGCAGAGAAGTTAGAGAGCGAATAGACACAACGGCAAACTGTTCCAGTCAGACGGAGCTTTAAATTTAAATGCATGTTTTCCAGCTTCTTTATTCACTCTTGGAACTACAAAAAAAGACTGATTTGCATGACGCAAACTGTACGAGGATTGGAAAGGAATCAGATATTGTTTTAAATATTCTGGAAAACTGAGATTAATGCATTTGAAAATAAACAATAGCCAATGTAGCTGACGTCTGGAGGACAGAGAGAGCCATGACAGCTGCTCATACATCAGGCAGTGATGGGTTCTGAACGGACAGCGAAGGATGAACCTGCATAGGCTGTTGTAGGAGACAGTTAGAGGCTGAAGAACAGAGGCAGAGGTGTTTTGATAAATTATATCGCAATAATCAAGAATGGGGAGAATCAGTTGAGAAATGATCCTCTTCCTTATTGATAAGCTAAAACAATTAATCGATTGATAAAGTAATTTTAAGCGATGAGAAATTTTGTTTGTAATGTTTTGTATATGAATATTAAAGGACAGAGAAGAATCAAGCCATAGGCCGAGATATTTAAAACGATCGACAACTGGAACTGGAGACATATCTGAATACACAAGATTAATTTCATTTTTGGAAACAGGACACACTCTCTTCTGGAACAGTAAAACATTGTCAAGAGGAATTGACTCTTCCTTCAAATAAAGTCAGCTGGGCGGCACTGGAGGGGATGGAGATCTACAAACCCTGTTTTCTGACTGAAGATGTACTAAAACAGATTTTGTAATTTTATCATTTGGCTCCAGTGGAGTAGGTTGGGGGAAAGTACAAGAGTAGACCTTCCTGTGCCTTTTTCATCCATAATGAGAGAGTTAGTTTGAACCATCTACAGGTTATTGCCTTTTTCCCCTAATGCTGCAGCTGTTTGAATGTGGTAATTAAAATATGTCATCTTTAAAAAGTTCAAGATACATTTACACATAATTATCCCAGTGTGGATTTCCAAATTGATAATCTATTCAGGTTTTCATTAGCTTAACACATTCACAAAGCTAGTGAACAATAGTGGCTCAATTCCCCCATGCCTGCTTATTATCCGTCCAGCCCCATTCTTTTCTGTTGTCGTGTTCCAGTGAAATGATTAATGGTAGCTCTCAATGCAATCTCCCCACCACAGAACGAAGCCCCATCCTCTGTAACTTTATACTCTTTGATTTCCCCATACAGATCAGTTTGGAGACATGTTTGGAGGCTGTATTGTACTACTTTAAAGGAATAGTTCACCGTTTTTACATACTGACATATGTTCTTACCTTACCTTAGACTAGTTAATACATACCTGTCTGGTCTTAGTCCGTGCGCTCTGTCATGCAAACGGAGCAAAAACGGGAGCACAACCGCAGCCTCCTCTGTATATTTTGTAGCACCAAAAGGTAGCTCCCGCTAGAAGCTACCAAACTCTTCCAAGTGTTCCCTATTAAATGTATATAGTTACGTGACGTGTTACACTGCAAAGTATAGTAACACAGAAATGTAACTGTACGATTTTCTCAGCGGATAAAACGGGTACTATATTGTGAGGCGTAGTAATCTGAGGGGCGCTACGTCCGCGCACTAACTTCTCTCCGGAGACTTCTCTCTCGCTCACTTCCGTCAATAGAAGCAGCGTGACTTGTAATACACACAGTAGCAGCGAGAGAGAAGTGCATTATCATGCATGGATTAATCTGTTCATTTCCACAGTTACAGTCTCCAAAAGTCCTCACAAACACATCACTTTGTGCTCATCACAAGCGTTAACTGTAAGTGTCATGAATGAACTTGTTCTGAATTAACATTCATTTATGAATAAGTTAATGAATCTTGAAAAAATCTTCAAAAACATAAACGTACAATTCTCTGGAATTAGCAAAGGTACTTCTATTATTTGATCCTAAAGGATAACCATAAAGGTTCCTTAGACATAAAGTAGTCACTAAGTCATGTAATTATGCCAAACAGAGCTAGTAAGAGACCAGTGTGTCTAGAATGTACTCTGTTCTCACGGGGTAATTTATTGTCTAATTAACGTCAGTGTAGTGCACTGATCGAAGATTGTGGTCTTGCCTTAATCTGCACAGGTATTGACAGAATAGATTAATTAATTTTCTCGGCTGTACCCTTTTGCTATGCCTGATTGTGGAGGGGTTACAACTGATAACCTGTTCCCAATTCATATTTCCTA